CAGTGAGCGCGCAACCGTGGTATCCTTGCCCTGCCCCGCCCCGCCCAGGCTCCCAAGCGGGAGGCTAGCCAGCCAGAAGGCTGAGCTGGGGGCGTGGGCCACAGGGCCCCGCCCCTGCGCCTGCACAGCTCTGAGCTCTCCCTGGAAGCTGTCTCCAAACTAGGCAGGCCGAGCCAGGCAGTGCAGCTCTGGTGTTGGTGCAGCCCCGAGGGAGCCTGTCTTCCCCAGAACCTTCCTCCTCTTTCCTGCCGCCTCCTCACCCCTCCAAAGGGGTTCAGACAGGGCAGAGAAGTCCTGGCCCTCTTCCAGGAGCCAAGGCCCGCCCTAGTCCTAGACCCCAGCCCAGCTGTTCCTGTGAGCCCTCAGCACCGCAGCCTTCCAGGTGCTGAGCAGGTGTCAGGGAGTGAGTCAGACGGGGGAGCCAGGTGTGCCCGCTGGCCAGGCCCAAGCAAGGAGCTGGGCCAGGGCTCAGTTCTAGCCCATGGCCACACTGCACCTGCTAGATCTGAGGAGAGGCGCCTCTGCAGACCACCACAGCTCTGTTTCTGCACCTGGCACCCTGACCCACCCCAGAGAGGCCAGGCACTGGGCCTGCCGGCCTTTGCCCAGCCACACCACAGATGAGCTCCAGGGCATCTGGACGGGCCTCCTCATTGGGCCCTACTGAGGCCCTGAACCCTGGGGTGGGCGTGGCCAAGGAGGGGCTGGCTGCAGACTGAGGATTTAGACAGGTCACATTCTGCCTGAGGCATTCAGAGCCTGTTTGTTCAGAGGAGATGGGCAGTTTCTTCAAAAACAAAATGGGAGGAGCTGGGCTTGATGGTGCATGCCTGTAATCCCAGCTACTCCAGAGGCGAAAGCAGGAAGATCACAAGTTCGAGACCAGCCTGGACAACTTAGCAAGACCCTGTCTGAAAATAAAAATAAAAAGGGCTGGGAATGTAGCTCAGAGGTAGAGCTCCCTAGTACCACACACGCACAAAAAAGGACTGGGGCCAGTTGTGGTGGCCCACATCTGTGATTCCCAGCAACTCGGGAGGCTGACACAGGAGGATCATGAATTCAAAGCCAGCCTCAGCAACTTAGTGAGACCCTGTCTGTAAATGAAATATAAAGAATTGAGCATGTGGCTCAGTGGTTAAGCACCCCTGGGTTCAACCCCCAGTACCACCAAAAAAGAGATACACACACACACACACACACACACACACACAAAATATGTACATAACATATGTAACATATGTCCAAAAAGAAGAGGCTGTGCTGGGGTGGAGATGATGAAGCAGGTAGAGAAGATGACGATGATGGTGGTCATCACTCAGTGACGGGACAGGCAGGGCTCATGTTCTCTCCATGTGTGTGGGAAATGCCACAGTGACAAATTCAATGAAAAGAAAGGGACAGCACCCTCTCTGCCTAGTGGGCTGGCACAAAAGGAGCAGCTCAGCTGGGAAGGTTCTGCCCAGTGGTAGAGGACCGAGCTCCGGCTCTCGGTTCTCCAGGGCAGTGAGTGAAGCCCTTCTCAGGGGGCCTTCCTAGTTCATCTGGTTAAGGAAGGGCTTGCCCTGTGCAAGACACGTTTGTGTGTGTGTGTGTGTGTGTGTGTGTGTGTGTGGTAGAGTCACTCAGGGTCTGAGAGGCCACACAGCTTATCTGTGAGAGGTGGTCTCGGGTCCTCTAACCCACTGTTGCCAGCTGAGTGTGTCCCCACACAGTTGCTTGGCTGCTGCTACCCTCAGTATGTGACAGCCTCCTTGTCTTCCCCAGCTGTCCTTGCTCAGTCAACTCCTGAGCCTCATGAGGCCATCATCCCTGGGGCAATACGTGGGCTCTGAGCCCTTGCCACCCTGCCAGGAGCAACAGCCAAAGGCCAGTGCTGCACTGGACCACAAGGTGAGCACTCTGCTCTGTCTGCTTCTGCCAGGGCTGTCTTGTCTGCTTTGCACCACCTGTGGGGTCTACAGCTGCCCATCCTCCCAGAGCCCCGGGCTACGCCAGAGCAGAGACCAGCGGGCTTCCTCCTGTGTTGAGGGGAGGCGCTCCTCAGCTCCCGAGCCTGTAATTAGAGCCCTTGCCCTCACGGCACACGTAGGTACAGGGCATGGGCACAGGCTTGCAGGCCAGAGGGCCGCTGTGTGTCTGCTGCATCCGCTGTAGCCTGGCTTCCTTAGCCCTGGAGCTCTGGGTTAGCTTTAGAGGACCCTGATCCGGGATGGGGAGATGCTGGGGTGGGTGGGGTGGGTGATGGGAGCACATTAGGAGGAGGAGGAGGTGTCCTTATGGGAGGGACATCCTCGTTTTCCTTTTTGCAGGGCAGGGCTGGGGCCAGCCTCCCTGCTCATTTTCAGTGATTGTTACCCGAGGCTGAGTCCTTGACCTCCCCACAGTTCTTCCCAATTAACTTTCCAGACATCACCCAGCTTTCCTAAAAGCCACAGTTTGGCTTTTAGGTTTGGAAGCCAAGGGCAACAAGGTACCCCAGGGCCTGGAGGTTGCCGGGCGAGGAGACTAAGATGAATGTCAGAGCAGAGACAGTGGTGGGTAGGCTTCTGAGGAGGCGCTGCAGGCCCAGCTCCCTGTCCCTGGGTACTGGTGGTGATGAATGGAGATAGGGATCTTCTAATTCAGCAAGGCAGTAATTCCAAAACCCTGCTCAGAGGTGGATGTTGAGGATCCACAAGTCCAGCCTTTGGGCACTGCTCTGCAAATCAGATAAACAAATTAATTACTTAATGAACACAAATGAACCATTAAGAGAGTCCCAGTGCACTCCCCTTCCAGGACACTCAGGGAAGGTGATCTTTCCGTTGTGCCTAATATGAGTGCATTTACGAGGCTGCAGCCTCCCTGGAGAGTGTGAGCCGCCCGCATGCCCCTTCTCCTCTGCCAAGCACTGCCAGGACACAGGAGCTGGTTGCAGAGGCTGGTTATGGGGCCTGTAGAAAGGGGGCAGGGGGCTGGGGATGTGGCTCAAGCGGTAGCGCGCTCGCCTGGCATGCGTGTGGCCCGGGTTCGATCCTCAGCACCACATACAAAGAAAGATGTTGTGTCCGCCAAAAACTAAAAAATAAAAAATAAAAAAAAGAAAGGGGGCAGGACCAGTCTCTGGGGTGGCCTGAGCAGGACCCCAGGACCTGGGAGGCCTAGGCTGGGGGGAGTGATGAGAGAGAAAAGAAGAGGCTGGTCTGGCCTGGCTCTTGGGGGTCAGCCCCACAACTTCATGCCACAGAGGCAGGGCCCTGCCAGGCCCAGCTTTCCATTTGGTTCCCCTTATTTCTGAGTCTGCCTGGTGGCACAGCTGTCCCATAGCCTTGGGGGGGGGGGGGGAATGAGCCGGCTGAGGCATCCTCTGTGTTAAGGGATGCTGCCACACAGGTAGAGGAACTTGTGAGAAGCGTCCCCACGTCCCCTGGTTGACTGCCATATTGGGGATGGCTGGTGTGGCCTAGAAGCTCAGAGGGGCTGCACATCTTGGCAGAGTAGCCCAGAAGCAGAGTGTGTTGGAGAGGGGACAGCAGAAGGGGCAGGCAAGGTCACTACTGCACTTAGGACCCTGGATGCAACCCAGGACCACTGCAGGCTCTCAGGGTGAGGGAGAGGAGGGCAAGCGACACAGGTGGGGCTCCAGGTGAAGTAGAGTGTGAAGTGGGCTGAGCTGTGTCCCCTGCCTAAGTGCTGTTCTGACTGGGAGGGGCGAGGTGGGGCGATGACTGGGCAGGCTCCCACCCCAGCTGGCTGACTCCTCATTAGGCCCCAGCGTGTTTCATCTTCAAAGCAAAGATGGGGCTACTTACCAGCCAAAGAGAGCCGTTGGCGTCATCCGCCCTGTTTTATGGGAGTGGTGGTCTGGGTGGGGGCTCAGCCTTTTATCCCCAGAGCTCAAAGTCTTTGTCTTCTGGCCCCTTGAGTGCACTGGGGAAACTGAGGCCAGAGTCAGGTCATCCTGAGGTGACCTGTGGTGCAGGAAGTGGCTGCTTTTCCAGGCCCTTGGGGCTACCATGCTGGGCTGCCCGCCCATCCCCCCAGCCCAGCTCCTACTCTGTCTGGGAGATTTCCTGCCCTGCTCCACGGGTCATAGCCCTCCCCCAGCCCTACAAATAAACACTTCTGCCCAGCTCTTCCCACCTCCTCTCTCTCAGGCACTGGCCCGGCCTCTTCCCTCCTTCTGGGAGGAGGCCCAGGGCACAATGTGGCTTCACCTAGCATTGTCCCTGTGTGCATGAGCTGTCTGGCTGGACCAGGGCACAGCCACATCTCTGTACAGCGCATTCCACTTTGCCACTAGATGGACAGACGGAGGGATGGACAAGCAAATGGATTGTGTTATCATCCGTCTCGTCTCTCCCTTCCTGGACTTTCTTCCACTCTGTTCTAGTCATCTGCTCTCCTGTCCGTATTCTGGAAAGCGCCCTCTGCACACCTTCCAACCAGTGGCAGGCTCCGGGTCTCTTAATGTCTTTGGGTCCCTAAGGCCTGATGGAGCTCTGGGCTTCAGAAGTGACACCTTTGTAATGAGAGAACCAGCTGCAGGGTATTGTTGGTAATTAGGAAGCTCCTGCCAGGGAAAGCTAGACACCAAGTACTTGAACAAAATGGCTCTTACAGCTGCTCCTCTGCATGGGGGCCAGGAGGAGAGGGAGCTCAAGGGGAGGTGGGCGGCCTGGGTTCCTGAATTATTTGTCCTAGCTAGGTCAAAGTAACTTAGCAAATCACAACAGAGTTTGTAAAGGAGAAGAAAATGTTTCCATGGAATATCCTGCTTAAGGAGTTGATTAGCAGGGTGTGGTGGCACAGGCCTGTAATCCCAGCAGCTCAGGAGGCTGAGGCAGGAGGATCACAAGTTCAAAACCAGCTTCATCAATTAGCAAGGCCCTAAGCAAAAAATAAAAAGGGCTGGGAATGTGGCTTGGTAGTTAAGTGCCCCTGGGTTCAATCCCTGGTACCAAAAAAATAAAAATAAAAGTAAAAAAAAAAAAAATTTAAAGCCAGGGTGTGCTGGGGATGTAGTTCAGTGGTAGAGCACACCTGGGTTCAGTTCCCAAAACCAAAAAAAGAGGAAGAGGACAGAAGAAAGGGCTAACTAGAATGCTTTCTTCTGGCATTTTTAAGTGTGCCCGCCTGCCCTGACAGCTGCCCACCTGTATCCCAGCTGCTGGGGAGCCTGAGGCAGGGGGATCACTTGAGTTGAAGGCCAGCCTGGGCAACATAGTGAGACCAATCCAAAAAGTAAATAAAATGAAGTCCCGAGCCCTCTGACAGTTGTCAGTGGCCCTATGCTTTCTTGGTTGGAGCTGGGCTCACTCAAAGGAGAATAAACATCTGGGCAGAAGATGCTTGCAGTTGGGCACAGCCTGGCAAGAGTTCAGTGCCCTGACTGGCAGAACAGGGGAGAAAGGACCTTTGCAGAGTGGAAACTGTTGTGCTCTGGGGCTGGTCCCCCACTATTTCCCTTTGGCCCACAATTCAATTCTGCAAGAGACAGGTGTCCTCCTGGGCCCTCTGAGAGACTAGCCTGTTAGCCCCAGGCAGACAAACATTGCCTAACCCAACTCCATCACCACCGTCTCCTCGGGGCACCCAGCTCAGCCTTCCAACCCAGAACCAGGGTTTCCTGGTTGGCTTGCTTTTAACTGACGGTGTGAGCTGAATGTGGCCAGAGTTGGTCTGTTTGTGTTCTGTCCAGTCCCCAGGTCATGGGTGTGTGTTTATTGAAATTGTTGCTCTCTGCTCTTGTTAAGCCTGCCATCACACACCATGCTCCAGTTTACCAACTTCCCTTTTGGTTTTTGCTTTTCACCATGTCTAGTGCTTGTGTGTGTGTGTACACGCGCGCACACACACATTTGCATGCATGCGTGTGTGTATACACACATATATGTGTATACACACACACATGCATATATAAACATGCACACATTTTATATGTTTTGTGTATATATACTTTTTTTTTTTTTTTTTGGTGGTGCTAGGAATCAAACCCAGGGCCTTGTGCATGGTAAGCACGGTCTTTAGTACTGAACCACACTCCAGCCAGATGCTATATTTGATGGGAGTTTTTGGTTCTGTTTTTTTGGGTTTTTTTCCCCATAGAGATTTGGGAGGTAAAAGGAACCAGGATCTTGATGGTGGGATGGAAGTTTTTTCCCAGTTGGTTAAATTTGAGGCCTGGAAGGAAGTCACTGTCTCCTGTTGTATGGGAAGAGAACTAAGGGAGGAGGGAAGTAGGGGGTGAGGAGCCTGGCAGGCGTGAGGCCCCAAGCTAGTGCTGGGCATCCGAAATCCCAGCTCCTCAGGGGCTGAAGTGGGAAGATCGCAAGTTCAAGCCCAGCTTGGGCAACTTAGTGAGACAGACTTTTTAAAGGGCTGAGGGTGCAGCTCAGTGGTCGAGTGCTTGCCTAGCACGTGGGAAGCCCTGGTACCTGAAAAGTAAAGGAAAATAAAAGGCGGGATCTCAACCTGGCTCCAGTCTCCATAAGTGTCTCTTCCCTGCCTGATGAAGTCCTCAGAGGATGACAGCCTAGGGCTCCCTCAGCATCTGCCTGGCAGCTTCCTCCAGGTGCGTGCCTGGAGGGTCCCTGGCTCTGTCTCCTGGGGCCTGGAGAGGGCTTGTTTGTGGAGATAGTCAAGAGGTGATGTTGGGGGTAACAGCATCAGGCAGCTTCTGAGGTGGGTGATGCTGGCTGGGGTAAGCCCCCCTACCCGCACAGACTCCCTTGCACATCCGTGGCTCTGCCCAGCCTCTACGCAGGGCATGGGCCGCTGTGCATTTGTGTGAGTGCGTCCTGTGCATCTTTGTGAATCCTGTGGTGTGCAGCCTGTGTCAAGGGAGCTGGCAAACAAGTTTTGCTGCTTTTGCTCAGGCTGCTGCGACTGCAGACTGCAGCTGTCTGTCC